ATCCCACAGGGAATTAACCTATCAATCACAGTTATTGGACTCACAGAAATTCACGTATTCAATTTTCAGAGATATTTGAGTAACAAATTGGGTGTTTATGAACTAAATATTACGTAGTAAAAAATGCAGTAATTAAGAACTAACTATAAACGGTTTGTAAGCAAGAACGGGAATGATCTAAGGTTATGATTTTCCTTGTCGTCGGAATCCTTTCCGCTATGCTTGCTATAAATTTGCCTAAGTCTTCTCTATCGATCATGAGCACTCTGACTGTCGTAAATCTCTTCCGAGTAATTACAACAATATACTAGACATATTCTCCCGAATTACGCTAGCTAGCTTTAAGTACAGCTCACTTAGATCGCACCCAAGGTTTCGTTATCCCTAATCCCACCTTTAAACCCTTCGTATTGATCCCTCATATACGTTAGGAGTGATGATGTTCAACAACTACTTAAATATGCACTCTCTCCCGAGTAATGCACACTAAATAGGAACAGCTAATTGAGGGACCTTCAATCAACAGCAATAAGCATATTGTTGAACAAATAGAGATAATACTACGGCAAATCTATATTAACATAACGAGAAAATCATCCTTCAACAGGTTCCATCAAAACCCTAGATTAGGTATTTAGCTACTCATGATCATAGTAACACTTTCCCAAATAATTTGCATAATCGAATTACAAATTAAAGATGAAGGAATGAAGAATTCGATGATAATCTCCTCTGGAAATGGCTCCAAACGTTTTCGCCCTTCCGAAATAGTTTCCGTAGGTCTCTGGTGTGCCCAAAGTCCTCAAAATAGCATTTTTATATGTATTTATACCAAGTAGGGTTGGGCCCAGACGAAACACCCTTTCCTGCGAGAAATAGGACTTGGCTCTGTAAAATTTGTACAGGCGCGCCGCACGCTGCGACGCACAGTGCGGTAAGCTTGTGGGGAAGTTCAGAGAGCTATTTTCTGACGGACTTTTGGAAAATTGCACAGATGCGGCGCACGCTGCAACGAACTGTGAGGCGTAGCAGTGTAATTTTCTCAGAGTGAAATTATTTCATCCTCTTTTGACATCCAGACTTGGTACACAACCTCCGAACACGATCCCGGCTTAATGCATTGGGCTTTTACTCAGACTTCAAAGCTCCAGATTGATCGATTTAGCTCCAAATTAACTTTTGAACTCGGGATCACTTCCTGCAAGGCATAAAACACGTACTAAGTGTAAATCACTATCATTTGAGCTTAAGCACACGTAAAAATGCAGTATTTGGAATGTAATACTACGGCTAAAACACGGGTTTCTAGCCTAACATCAGCTAGTAGGTTAAGACGATGTTATGTGATAGCTGGCTAGTTAGTCAATAAGATGGCTATGGCTATTTATGTAAAGCAAAGTTAGTTAGAGGAGTTAGTAAAATACTGTATATATACACTACTCTGTATTGTACGTAGCATGTAGAAGAAATGAGAAACTTTTAGTGCTTTCTCTCAAGTTCTCTTCTGCTCATCTCTCTCTCTCTACTCTAATTTCGTTAATCTCTTCCTTCCATTGATAAAATTGACAGATTCTTGCAAGTTTTACCGCACGTCACATTAGTTTATTTGAAAGATTTAGATTTAATCGAGAGAGGAGCCTGAATCGGAAGTATAAGCTAATCGCCTATTGAATTCGTGAGAATCGATAGATCCTCAAGAGTGAAATATAACAGTATCAAATTCAGAACATCTATCTTGCACCTATCATGTTAAAACCCTTATTTCTTACATTGATAAGAAATCAACTCTGCTAATCTCTAGTTATTTGCCGTTAATTGTCAATTGCTTACTTTAGTAGTTAATCGTAGTTCGTAATTAGTCCAATCAAGTTTTGATCATCCTGAATAGCAGTTAAACCCGTAATTACTAGAGCATTATTTAAATCCAATTCTTGTGGAAACGATAATCATACTATACTATATTTGGCTAGCCATCATCAATTTTGTGTTGTGTTTTGTGCTCATAGTGGCGAGTTTATGTTTCTCTAATACAAAAATCATAGAGTTGCTATTTAGTTAAAGTATATGTGTCTCTACCTTATGATTCAGAGGATAAAGGAAAGGAAAGGAAGGAAAGTGAAACCAAATATTAGGTATAGATTGGATTTGTTGGATCATGAGAGTTGTGAAGGAATTTTGTTAATCAAAGATTTAGTTAGAATTCTACCATCTTCCTTTATCCTTCGATCGATGATCTACGGGAGATTGGTCGCAACCACTGAGTTAAGATCGAATGACCTTATTAAAGTGTTTGTTGATTGTCCTCAAAAAGATTTTATGACTTAGTGTTTGATTGGTCTATAGAAAGACAAGCAAAACTTGATCATAACTAAGCTTTAAGCGACTGAAATTGTGAGAAACCTTGGCGTACACCAATAAAATTATTTATCAGTAGAAATTATTGAATGATAACTTTTATGAGCTCTTGAACGAGTTTACACTTGCATAGTTGTTTGTGAAAAGCTCATTGTGCCGGACGGCGGTGTAACTAAAATGAATTTAATTGATATATTATTTTATAAAGAATTACTTCGTCCGTTTTTAAAGTGCAGCATTTAGAAAAAGCAAAAATAACTTTTAAAATTTGTATTTTTAAATATATTATAATATTTGTGGGGTATCAGAGTTTCTTATCAAGAACAAAATAAAAAATTTAAAATTAAATTATTTTCAAAATTTAAAAAAAAATATTCTTTTAGAAACAGAATAATTTAACCTAAAATAGAATAATATAAGTAGGGTCATATAAACTAAAATGTATGAAATAGATTACATTATCATGAAAATTTAACCTAATATAGCATTTTATTAGTGTATTATATTTTCTAAGTTGCCATACCAGATTTCGGCGGTACTTTTTTATATGTCAACTTTAGCTGATGGTTTATTCAAGGAGCCCGTTTGGATTGGCTTAAAAAAAAGTGGCTTTTAAGTTAAGTGCTTAAAAGCACTTTATAAGTGCTGGAACTTGTTTTATAAATAAGCAGTTACGTGTTTGGATAAAATTGCTGAAATTGAAAAAAAGCTGATGAAGTATTTGGTAAACAAGTGTTGGTAAGCACTTTTTCTTGTTAAAATGACTAAAATATCCTTAAAGTTGGCAAGGATCAAGTAGCAATAGAGGTAGCAGGCGCCGGCGGAGGAAGCTATCCCAAAATCCACATAGAAACCGCCCTTCAACCTAGCCTCACGTTTCAAACGAATTAACTCCGTCTCCTGCTCCTCATACTCCTTTGAGTACTGTTTTGCCCTGTTGTAGATTAGTTTTCGATTCTCGGCATTCTTCTTCTTTGCAGCTTCAAGTTCTTGCTTCTTTGCAAGAGTCCATTCCTCACTCCTCTTCTGCTTCTTCAAGATTGACTCTGGGACCGGAGTTTCACCCATCGCTTGGAATTGTGGAGGTGAATGGAATGGGGTTGCTGGTCGGGGGTGAGAGGGAGATAGTATGTTTTAGGATTTTCTACTGAAGGTAATTTCAGGATTAAGAAAAATTATAAGGGATAAGAATGTAATATTCTTGGTCAAAGCAATATGGCTTTTAAGCCAATTTTGAAAAAGTTGGATTTTTCTATCTTATTGGTTTTGGCTTTTTTAAGCAGATTTTAACTTTTTTTAAGCCCTTTTTTTGGTTGCCAAACATTTCCACGAGTTAAAAAGTGCTTAAAGCCCATCCTACAGGCTCTAAGGTATGTATGTCCACAGAACGTAACTAAAGTAATACAACTGGAGTACTAATTAGTAGGATTAGTTAACTCCTATAGCAAAGGTTGATATCTTATTTATTTTAAATAAATACCCTTTTAAAAAATTATATTCCATAGCTACATTTTGATTTTTTATAGCCAAATATCTATTTATGGTCACCTCCTACCCTTAAGCCATAAAATAAGCTTTGTATTATTTTTCATTCTCATATCCCCTCAAATTTCTCCTATCCCCTACCCCATATCTATTCTCTCTCTCTCTCTCTCTCTCTCTCTCTCTCTCTCTCTCTCTCTCTACTTCCCGATGTCTTCTCCTCCGCCGGATCAAGGCTGAAGATGAAGGCACTGGACTTCGGCTTCTGTTGCTTCTACTTTTAATAAGCGGCGGAGAACACGACTTCTCCTCCGAAGATGGAGAAGAATCCGTCGATTGAGGCAGTCTATTAGAGCGTCTTCTAAGTTAATTCTTCTCCCCTTCATCACATGCTTTGTCTTCAATGTAATTACGTGCTAATCATCGGCAACCGGAGGCAACGGTGACGGCGAGCGAGGACTGGATACTGATGATGCTTCAACGAGACGACATTAGGGTTATTCTTGAACAAAGACGACGTAGTTGGGGGCTGAGCAACTTGAATTTTCTGTTAATATATTTCAATGTATTTCAATGTATCTCGTTGTATTTCATTTGTATTCATTGTCTTTTTTTTTCATTGTATTTCAATGTATCTCGTTGTGTTCTATGTATTTCATTGTATTCACTGTCTCGCTATATTTCATGAATGTATTCATATGTTTCATTTTAATTAATATAATTTATGTATTCAGATGTATTATATAATTTCTCTGAAGATTGCTATATTTTTTGGGTGTTTTTCGATTGAGAATCTTTTTTATAACTGGAAATACAAAATTTGTGTGTTATAATTGAGTTTGTTGAGTTATATTAGGAGTCTATTATGTTAATTGATTCACTTTCCGTTTAAAAACAGTGTAATCTCCTGTTTCACGCCGTGAATACAGTCGAATACAATAATCTGTCCAGCTGTAATCCCATGTTTCACGCCATGAATATAGTCGAATACAAAAATCTGTCTAGCTGTAATCCCCTGTTTCACGCCTAGAAATGCTACAGTAGCTTCAATACATCGAATACACTCTAAAAAATCTGAAAATATAGCTATAGGAAATAATATAGTAAATGATAGCTACAACCAGCTAATAATCACTAAAACATAGTGGTTTCCGAAAGTTTTTCTAATTAGTATAGCAATTCTCCCAATAATTTGACATGTTAATGACAAGCAAAGTGAGGACTCAGGAGCTAAGAAAAATACAAAAAATCGAAACCAGAAAAACCGACCATCTCCTCTTTACGCAACACGCACATACATATTTGGATCTTCAATCGGCCATTGAAACACACAGCAAACATGTGTGGGCTTGGATCTTAGAGTAGAGATGGGAGGTTTAATGGTGGAGAGGTATGAAAAGCTAGGGTTAAAGGAGTCGCTGAGTCGAGCCTATCATTACCCAATTGCTTGTGAAGAGCTAAGCTGTATTCTAAGAAATGCATATTCTAAAATCCCCAAAAATTTGCAATCTCTCATCTTTCAGGATTCCCTCGCTGCCTTTCGCCTCCTCCCTCAGTAAGTCACTCCTCCTCCTCCTTCGATTTTTATTAGAAATTACTACTGCATAATCTACCTGAAGAGTTAATAGGTTTGTCCTTGTATTTTCTTTGATTCGATTAATAGAAATTTAACTCCGTGTATATAAAGCATAGTTCGTCCAAGGTAGATTGGAAAACAGTGTAAAATTAGTTTATCTATAAACAAAGAGGATTTCATGTAGTTAACTTGATTAATTGGGAATTGCCGCATAATTGACTGATGGTAATTACTGATTGATATATGTTCCTTTTCACTCACTAGCAAATTGTTGATTATTACATTTGAGAATCGAAGTTTCCGGTGTGCATATAAAGAACTGGAGTAGCATTTAGTAAAATTTGCAAGTTTAGTAATTAAAAATATAGTTGATCAACACTTTCCGTGGGGCTTAGCACTTGTGCTAACGTGTTGGTTAACCTTATAGAAGACACACTAGCTACTACATTTTCATCTTTTTTCTGCTTTCCTAATGATAAGCATTTGCTGGTAATAAGGGCTTGATGGAGCCATGTCATGTTGAAGGAGAGATCCAATCCTTTCTACTTTGAGCCTTTGAGGTCCCTGAATCAAAAGATCTTATAGACAACCTAATTTGCTTACATTAAGAACATAATAATGTTCACATATTTCTTGTTCGTGAAATTGTTTGTTTTTGATCTGTATTTAGTGATATGTTTCTATTTCAAGTAAAAGGAACCTTAATATTAAAGCATTCACTTCAGAATGCAGACACAAGCAGCCATATCAGCAGCAAATGGCCTGCTTCACAGCATCGAGGCTGCATTACCTAAACAAAAAAAAGTTTTAGCTGCATCTGAATTTAAACAGGCTATGGTTGCTCAAAGGAGGCGACGGAAGGTCCAACCAATGGTAGAAGGTAGTTTTAATTTAACATTTCTTTTCAACGATAAAGGTCACTATAGACATTTACTGCTTTCAGTATGGAATACCTTTTTGTCAAACCCTGCGGATTAGGACACCTGTAGCTCTATTGCCTTTGCTATCCAGCCATAGTGGCATATTCCTCCAAGGCCATTTTTAAATCTCAACTTGCAGCCATGTCTGCAAGAATGGAGTGGACAGATTTAAAGGAGAGTTATTTCCAGAACTCTGGAAATGCAAACCCAAGGGAAAAACATTAGTGGAGAAATGGACAGTGTAATATACTACTTGGTAAGGCAAAAGATCATCCTCCAGTTAACAGTTAAACCTCGAATTTATAGTGCCTCCACCAACCCTTATGCCACAACTGAACTTCAGCTAATGTAGATTTCATAAGGAACGGTAAAGTAAATTGCTAACCAGTTGTAGAGATGTTAACATTCAATATGGTGTCCTTTTTCTAAAATATTGCTCAATACTTCTGTATCACTGCTCACTGCATTCTAATTTTGTATTGCTTCTTTGCATTCCAGGTAGGAGCCAACTTCCTCAGGATATTCTTGTACACATATTTGGCTTCTTAGATTTAACGTCTCTTGTCACTGCCTCTTTAGTCTGCAGGTATGAGTCTTTCCTTATCGACTTAAGTGGATGCATCAAATAAATTCAGTGTAGGCATCTCTTGAACATAGGACCTAGTCCTATGTCTGATTAATCAATTACCATCAGAGGTGGATCCAGGATTTGATGGTTACGGGTGCCACTGTCTCTAATGTAAAGTTACCTCTAGTCAAGGAGGTCGAATTAGGGTATACATTTGGCTAGTTTGCTCAGTTTTGAATTAACTCGGTTCGGTTCGGTCCATTTTTCAATTAATTCAGTTCACTTTATAAGATTTTTTGGTGCATAAATACACACGTGATAACTAAACTAAAAATGTTTGGTCCTTCAAGAAAAAAATAACATTAATTAGATCAAAAGAAAAATGATTAAAAGCATATTGAAATTTCAAAATTCGAGATTTAGAAAAGGAAAACAGAAATAAATATACTTTTATAATCTAAATAACTAATAAAAATGGAATTGTATAGAGAGAGAATACAAAGATGAAAATAAGAAATTAAGAGAAAGAGAAGAAAAGAAAAATCTAGAAAAGAGGGAACACGGAAAAGCAAAATAGGCTTTGTTAAAAATGAGTGAGAGGAGACTCGATCCTGGGCCGTGGGCCTGGCAGGAAGCACTTGGACCGTGGTACCTACCATAACTTTTTTACTCAGGGTGCCACACTTTAATTTATACACCTTTTTTACATGAAATATCAGTGGAATACCAATACTAATATGAAATTCTACCGGAGCGACCGGGTCGCGTACACCCCCCTTCCCTCTGCGTATATCCGCCCCTGATTACCATATCAGAATGATATATCAAAAGGTGTCTACTTTTGCAGGTCGTGGAGTGTGGCAGCTAGTGACAACCATCTGTGGCAGTCGATGCATATTAGCTTTTTCGGAAGGCCAAGTGACAACCCAAATATTATCAGGCTTACCTATGGTGTGGAGAGAATTACTTTTACTCCGGGAAATACCACCACAGCTAGTGTTGACTGGAGAGATGCTTTCAAGCGAGCTTATAGAGGTATTCCCATTGGTTGATATCCCACTTTGATTAGGCAGAATAATATTCCGGCTATGTTTCATTGTTTTTATCCATGTTGCATGGGTTAATAGACCACTTGGACTATTCTAGCATTATCATTTATCTTCATTCAGAGAGGTCTTTACTCTATCTGCTTGTTTTCTTTTTTCTTAACAATTTTTTTTGTCATTTTTTTTCATACACCCTAGCTGTTTTGACTCAGGAATTTCAAGAAAGGTAACATCCCAGAGGGGCTTTTGCAAGCAGTGCAATTCAATTGTTTGGCTGAGTAATTCCAAGTGTTCCAATGAATGCTTTGGGAAAATTTCTGATGAACATCAGATCATGCCTGTGTCAATTAAACAGGTTTGTGAATGCTATCTCCTTAGCACTGTAAAGAGAATAGAAATGTTCCTGTCTCTTCAGATTTTCTTAGTTCAATACAACATTGTTTTTTCACCATCTTAAGCAGCTCATAGCTAGTCCTGCAAGGTTTTCTAAAGTTGTCTTTTGCCAGATTGTGGACTACGTAATAGAGGAGTCCATACCTTCCTCAGATAGTGACAGTGATACAGATGACTCGGTTGATGGCTCACTCTTCAAGCTGTGGGCGTATCCCATGAGATTTGGCGAGCCGCATGCTCGATGTGGTAGCATATAGAAGATCTTTGTTAATATATCGAGACAAACAGTTCATTGGCTGGGGACTGAAACAATGAGGTAAAGGATTGTAATTAATGTCCACGTTCAAATATCAATCAAATGTGACAGTTAATTAGCCTTCTCCGTTGTTTTGTCCTTTTTGTTGTTTCTGGCTTGGTTGGGGAGCTTTACAGTTTATGTGAAATGGTCGAATTACATCCTTTTTACGTCGAGAGTTGTAGAAATGAAAATCTCATCAGCGTAAATACATTTTGGAATTAGGTTCGCAGATTGCAACTATTCATTGAATCCGCCTAACCTACATTTTGCAAGTAGACAATTGACAGCTCACAAGTTTCAATCTTTTCTAATAGTCAAGTCTACCAAATCATAACCTTGAGCTAAGCCATGTCCTTGAACTGTAATGAAAACAATTGATGCCTCAGAGCCATCCTATGCTAAATGGCCATTGAAGCAACAAGGTATAATGCAATATCAAGAGTCCCTGCGGATGAGACAAATGCTACAGGTATTCTATAGCCACAGCAATATCACCAAGTACATTGCACCGCACAGCAATATTACTGAGTACATTGCACCGCAGCAAATTATACGGCCAAACTTATACATAACACATTGAATTAAGTTGTGAAACGTAATTCGCATCATTCCCACCCTTGAAAGTAGCCACACAGAGACATTGCTGTGAAACAAAAATCAAATATGTGTTTTCCATTATCTGATTTATAATTGTAGGAAATACTCACTTGCATATTGATGTGTACTGTCACCCTGATGACTGCCAATATTCATACAGCAGTCTTTCAAAATTTAACAAAAAAGAAAACCATATCTGGAACTCAAAAACTACCACAAAAAACGCCAAGCTTGTTTAAGTAATAACAAAGCAAAACCAGTAAACAAAGGGTCTTCTAGCATAACTGAATCACAACATCTGGAGAAACGACTCTGTGAACCTAAGGGGTGCCACCTATTCTTGTCTATAGGAACTTTTTGTCTTTCAGTGGACCTCTTGGAATTTTGCTTAGAACCTTGACGTTAAAAACAGCATACTGCTTTTTGATCTCTGCCTCAGCCTTCTCAGCAAAAGCATCAACCTGGTCCTCATACTTCTCATAAAGTACAGGGACGGTATGGAGCAATACAAAGCCTGTTTGCGCAGAGAAGGGAAAAGGCGCACTATGAGAACTAAACTAAATCATACGCATTAGATCTATTCATTCCAGTAAAGAACAGGATAAAATCGCTTACATATGTAGAACAAGGTGAGGAAGTTCCAGCAATTCCCCAGTATTGAAAGTACCCATAAGCCAGCAATAACCTGCATGTAATTTTTGTATCAAAACTTGGACAAGATGAAACTTAAATAATGAAGAACCAACAAGAAGCTATGCTCAAGCTTAAGCTATCAAAATAATGGACTCAAATTACACAACTAATGGACACGAAAACATACAGCAAGGAATTTCTTCAATTCCTTTCCAGAGGCAATATCCCGAAGGATTTCAAGAGCTCTGTTGATTTCAATCCTGAGGGCAGAAGCAACACCCAGGACAATATCCTCGGGCAAAATGACTTCCGGAATTTGGGGTGGAGACCTGGTGCATGATATTTCAAGGTCAATTCTCAGGTAAATCTGGATAGAAAACTACTAAAGAAGGGAAGAATATACTTACTTGTTGATGAAGGTGGATGCATTGGACCAGAGGAAAAGGACAGCTAAGGCAAGGATCAGAATATGGCACACAAGTGTGAGCAAGTGGTACTCAAGCAACTCAAAAAGCACCCAAATTGCAGTGGCAAACCCAAGCACGCCGGCAGTAATTTTTTTGTCCCTCCACAGGAAAATGTCAGCAGCTGCCCAATCGAATTGAATAATTAGATACATAAAATCATACAGCTATAAAAGAAAACTGTGTAACTGCACATCAGACACACATCACGGATGTAATTCTACCGTCTCACGTAAACCGTGCTGCTAAAGTTAGATTGTATATCAAATATACATGTTACATGCCAAAATTGGCCAATAAACCTTCCTATAAAAATAATTCTTCAGTTAATGGATACGAATAACAACGAAGCATGCGAGTGTCTAGTTTATTTACAGGTAGTACATTCACAATGCAACCTTCTCAAGAATTTGATCTCGCTATGAACCAATTTCGAAAATGTTATACACTGCATGAATCGGAAAGATAACAACACAACCAACCAACCGCAGATCCATGCGAAGCCAATGAACAATAATGTATAAGAAAAGGAAAACAATAGAGAGATACTAGCGTGGATCCAAATGTATGTAGCTACATATAAACGAATGAAATGCGGCTCCAACTGTTGCAACAGATCTCCAATTTCAGAATTTTGAAAAGGAAAAAAGGAATTAAAGCGCATCTCAACACCAATGCCAAATAAATCTAAAGTAATTCAAACTCCGAAAATCTTAAACTAATTTTTGAAGTATAATGAAAATGCATTCTGAATCAAGGACAAACTGTATCACATATATCTTTATACACACATCTATATTGAAAAAAGAAAAAAGTAGAGATTTAGAGAGAGAAAGAGATATGAGAGATGTACGTTTTCCACCGCCGAGAACCTTATGGACGGGTCTTTCCCTGCCAAAGAGACGATAGATCTTAGCCTTGGCGGCCTCGACCGGCGATATTTTCTCCTTCTCATCTTCGGAATCCGATGAGGATGAATCGTGGTGCAACTTATCGTTGATCTTATCCATCACCGATTCAACGAATGATTCGTTCTCGCCGGCGTGATCGGCCATCCTGTACTCCGATCTAACAGTCGTTTGCCGCCGGCAATTGGGGATTTTTTTTTTGCTTTTTGAGTGACTGCTTTCCTTACGCTCGCAAGTGTGTGGAAAGAGGGAAAATATCGAAAGGCTTAAAGAGCGTGATTTCGAACCTGAGGCTCGGGATCCGAACCAAGTGGTTCGGCAAAATAACGGAAATCGATGAAAAGCTGGTGTCCGCTAAAAAAAAAAAAAAAAATTCTATCTCAGTTGATGCATTCGAGGATAAACGGAAGACGTCGGATTTAACGGCTTGAGAATCTTGCGGACAGCCCCTCGTTGACGGCGTCAAGTTGTCGTTTATTCTACGTGACTGCACAACCCGCAATGGGCGCTGTTCCCGGCCCTTTTCCGGTAATTCGGAATATGTTGACACGTGGGTGCGCATAAATGGAGCATTACGAAAGATTGGTGGGCCAGGAATAGTGGCTGGGCTTCAAGCAATAGTGGCATCCAAATTAGTTGGCCGACTAAACCGACGACTTTGGTTTATTTCAGTCTTGAGATTGCTGAAGGTTCTAAGGACCCGGAGTGGTTCACCAATCACCATCCATTTACACACTCAAAGGACGAAAATATATATATATTTTTTATACAATATATATACAGAATATATATATATATATATATTGTATATAAAAAATATATATATTTTACATACTTTTTAACTAGATAAATACAATTAGTTTCTGTCGAGCGACCAACTTTATTCTTTACCTTTTTTTTTTTCCTCTAGAAAAGGTCGAAGATGTTACCCTTTTATTATTTATTTTTTAAGTAGGTCCATACATCAGTGTGTATCTAGAGTTATCTTTTTTTTTTTGGTCCAAACCTAGAGTTATCTTAACCGTGGAAACTCCTTGGTCCTTGAGTTTTAGTCGAGAAATTTACTTACATATGTTAAATTTTTAAATTTTCAATAAACCTATTTTTAGGTAGTACCGCGTACCTGAAGATATACGACGGTACTACAGACCCCGATAATCACATCATCCACTACGTCACAGCAGTGAAGGCCAACGACCTTTCAAAAGAACAAGTACCGTCGGTGCTACTGAAAAAGTTCGGCGAAACCCTGACGGGGGGAGCCTTAACCTGGTATTCACAACTGCCAGCGCGGTCAATAGCAACGTTCGAGGAAATGGCCGACAAGTTCGTCACTGCCCATGCAGGGGCTAAAGAGGCGGAAGCCAGGGTGAACGACATATTCGTCGTTAGGCAATCGCCTGGCGAGGGACTCAAGGACTTCTTCTCCTGGTTTAACACAGTGAGAATGAGCCTGCCAATTGTATCCGAAGGGATGGCGGTAGCAGCCTTCCAGAACGGGTTGAACAGGAACGGGTCGAGGGCAAGCAGAAAACTACTAAGCAGGCTCGTGAAATACCCTCCCACCACTTGGGAGGAAATTCACAATGCCTATTGCGCCGAGGTAAGAGCCGCGAGGACGACCTTAACGGTCCGACCCAACGGCTAACATCAGTTCAAACAGAGCCGAGGAAAGATCGTCGTAACGACGGTCGAAGAGATCAATCAGGCCCCCGTCTCAACCAAGAAAGACACCAGCCCTACGTCAGAACAGTCGTCCCACCGTCTCCCCGACATGCAGAAGGGTCGTCCAGACTGCAAACAGGGACTCAACGAAACGAAATAGGTATGCCTCCACTCTTATCCGCTCACAATTTTTCTGTTTCCCCTTCAGAAATAGTGTACGCCTTAGAGAAGTTTGGCACAAAGGTGAAATGGCCACAAAATATGAAGTTCGACCCAAGTACACGAAAGTCAAACGTCCTCTGTGAATTCCACCAAGAGCGGGGTCACAAAACTGAGGACCGCATAGCTCTACGGCAAGAGGTAGTGAACATGCTGAACCAAGGGCACCTGAAGGAACTGATGAGCGACCGTGGACGAGCCAACTTCGGTCGCGGGCGAGAACAACACCAGGGACCTTCAAAGCCACCCTCCCCCGCTCGCACCATCCAAATGATCGTCAGCAGAGGCGATGAAGCAGCGTTCAACCACGTGAAGTTCACCACCACACACAAACTCAAGCGATCGATCACACACGAACGGTACGACGACTTCGGAGACAGTATCATCTTCGATACGTCAGATACCGACGGTTTGACTTTCCCTTATTTCGATGCTCTTGTTATTACTTTACGTATTTCAGATATTGATGTGAAAAGAATAATGGTTGACGACAGAAGCGGCGAGTGTATTATCCACCCTCGAGTCCTCATACAAATGAGACTCGAAGACAAGGTAGTACCGCGTTGCACAAATGCTAACGGGTTTTAATAATGCAGTTGAGCAAACCTCCGGGGAGATAACGCTGCCCGTTTTGGCCGGAGGTGTTACCCTGGAAACAACGTTCCACGTCATGAACTAGGATAC